TAGAGCGACAGAGTATCACCCCGCCAGTAGACGCTGGCTTTGGACTGCTTGTACCCCAGCCACTAACCATGCTTGGTGAGAAATTTGCTTTGCCTGAAATATAACGAGGCAGCTGATTGACTAATTCGGACTCCCTCACCCGTCTTGATAGCAGCTGTTGAAATACAGGTTGCAGTAAGCTGGCAGAACGACGCTCACCCTGATGTTCCCGGCCTTGCACTGCCTCATGCTGCACCACCTGCTCAGGCCCCAAAAGCCAAACGGTAGCTGATCTCACCGTATGTTGCTCTGCAGGTGAAAAGGCACCAACTAGTCTGGCACTGACCAGCACCAACGGTCAGTATTCGGGAGAAGTTTACAACCATTCCTGGCCTGCGTAACTGGGGTGAGTTTGTTGCGATAGTTGCTGAAACAAAGCTACAAGGCTGCCTTGCAGTACGGAGAACGACCTGATTTACAGTGGTCAATGGACAGGGTGGCAAGTGGAACCCAATTCACCCTGGGAGTTACAGAGGGATGAAATTGGTCCATTACCTGCGGAAGGAGATACAGCCACTGCAGCCTGTAGTCTCTTCCTTTCACACCTGGCTGTGTAGGACCACAATAAACCAGACCAAAAAAACCATAACTGGGAGCACAGCTGTTACAGCCGTGTAACGAGATACTAGTGAGCTCCTCCATTTGGGAGGGAAAGAGCATTTGCAACACTGATGAAGGATGGGGGCATGGGACTGGGGTGGGGAAGGCCCAGAACAGTTTGGTTTTCAATCTTTAATTTATACATTTGACTGGCTTAAAAAAACAAAACAAAAAACCACGGCTGGAAATAAACATCCAGTAACAAACCAACCCACAGAGTTTTAGATTTTGAGCTGCCAGAATTCCTGTTCTAAGGCTTCAGCTTGCAAGAGCAGCACAGGTCGCTGGCTCAGCGTGTCAAATTGCAGCCGTGCCTCCTGGCTGGTGGATCTGAGAATACCAGCAAAGTAGTAATAACATTTAAAAACCCCCCACCAGCAATGCAAATAGATCAATGCCACACCCCTCTTTGATTATTACACACTTCTTCAAACTTGGTATATTTCGGCCTGGAAAATAATAAAATCACTGGAATAATAAAATCGCCCCGAAGATTTTGAAAATAATTTGATCACAAGTTTTTATTATATATATATATATATATATTTATATTTTACTAATTTTTGTTATAAAGTGCAATCCACAGTCTGCATTCATCTCCATTTCAAATTCTTGCTTGTTTCCTGCGGGGTTGTGTAAGAGAGAGATGTGAGGGAATGAGCTACAACTTCGTGGGATGGACGAGGAGCCACACCCTCCACAAACACCTATGCTGCTGTTAACAGCATCTTCTTTAGATCCAACCTCACGAGAGGAGAATTAATGAAGACAACAGCAGAAAGGTTTGCGATTCTTTTCGGTGAGCTTAAGACTTGTCTGTAGGGATGGGTATTCAGGATCATTCCTGCCAAGGAGGAGTCCGGTACATTTGCTAACCGTCTTGTGCTACTTCTGCACCATGAGGGAGCAGAAAGATGATGCCACAGGCTCCTTCACGGTCTATCAATGGCCACGGGTTGCATTTTTAAGGACTGTTACTGTTCAAAGGGTTTGTATCGATAGCCTGATATTTTTGTGGCTAAAAACAAATTTAAAAAAAAAAAAATCGATCTTCTCTCATTACACTCCAGGGTGCTGGAAACATGAAGAGATACGAAGTGACATGTCCTCTGCTCTCTGGGAAACAGGAGCATTGCACTTAGCAGAATGCCATGATGGGTAGCAGTTACCCGCACAGTAGGTAGCTAGCGGGCGAGTTTCCACCATGGGGCTCAGATTTTCTATGGGGTCAACACAGACAATCAGCTGAAATACAGCCATGTGCAGCTGACCCTGTACTTTTCAACTCAATGTACTGGAGACTTGATGTAAGCTACTGAAAATGAGCTATGTGGCTACAGTGCTCAGCTTTAAAGACAATCAAAATAATAGTTCAAGTACCAGGTCAGTTACCTTACTGATTATATGCCAAATACATCTATAGCTAGACTGAGACGGGGAAGAGAGGGGCATGTGGCAATTACTCCATAAAAATGGGCATTGCTTTTAATCTTGCAGGTGCTGGGTCATCGATCCTTCCTCCGACAGGCTCCCATTCCGTGACATCGCAGCTCGCAACAGGAACAACAAACTGATCAGGGGGCAATTAAGAAGTGAGCAGTTCCTCACTCAGACAACCAAAACCACCGGGAAAGTTTGGAAACAGGCACCCTATTGTTAAAGGGGCGCAGTCACATTTCCCCCTGAAAGCTTTGCATCTACCATAATAAACAACCCGCTCTGGTTACTAACAGTAAGAGGAAGGTATCTTGGTCTCTGATGCTTTGTTGGGTGTATTTGTGGAGAGCAGTGACACTGTTTTGCTGACGGTCAGTGGCATGACTCTCATACACAGTTCTGCAGGCACAACTCCTCTAAAGAGCACCAGGATGTGCGGGGGTGTTTGCCAGTACCAGCAGTCGGAAGGAATGCCCCCAGAAAGGAAGGGGAAGGAGGTCTTGGCATGGCTGGTGTTGGCGGCTTTCAGGCCTGCCCAAAGGACCTATAGAAACACAGCAGTGGAACAGGAAACTCTTCTGTTTGGCTCCACA